ACACATAGCCAGTAAACTTTTAGGACTTTATGAGATGAAATTTGGGATGTGAAAATGGTTCTTGTTTGTTGTAAAATAAATGAAGTGTTTTTATAAGTTTTTATAGTTACACGTATTGAAGTATTTCTTTTTCTTAGCATGCCATGATGCTGCCTGTTTTGACCCATCATATCCGCTACCACCAATGCCTGATGCATCTGGACAAGTTGATAGGATATACTTTCCAAGACCGTTGTCTGTTACAGGTAAGAATTACTCTCCATAATAACAAGATAAGAGGAATTCATCTTGCAAGTTACAAATGGTGCATTGCGTTCTTTATCTTGGAAAGTGACGAGGATTTTTAGAAACATAACTGTCTTCATTATTCTGCCCCAGTTGCCTCTGCCACATTCCAGCCTTTTCTCTTACATTTATGTGAGCCCATCCCTAAAGAAATTCGCTAAAAAAACCTAAAATTTGCCTGTCAAACCTGAGTACCCTCTTTCAGCTTTTCCTCCCTTAACGACTGCTTTCCTTTCCAGTTGCTGAGTATTCTGTCCTCTGAAAGACATGGAATTTTAGGTTTGTTTTCAGAAGAGGGCTTGTGCCAGAGCTCTGGAAATTTGATGCTGGAGGAAATAAGATGGAAAGATCAGGGCTTAAAATTCAAATAGATAGATAGCTTCCTTTTCTGTTTCATTTGGGTTGATATAAAGATGGTGCTTCTATGCTGAGTTTTAAATATTAAACTCATTTCATTGAAATTTTAGCTAGCCATGACTCATCCGAGTCATCATTTAAATTTTGGAATGAATCCTGATCATGCCAGGAATTCTTTGTCTAACTGTGGAATTCGGCAGCCGAAATATGGAGACAGAAAAGTTCATCACATGCACATGCGGAAAAAAGGTACGTTTGGATGACTCTAAGATTCTACTGCCCTATTTTGGCCTGTGTTCCATATTGTAAATTATATCCCTACCAGGAATGCTTCCCTGGGTGACTCTTTCACCCTTTTATATTCTTGTATTCCTATTGACTCATACATAATAGCATTCATTTTGAGCAGAGCATTATAAGAAGGGCGGATGAA